CTAACTAAATAGGCCCAAGCGGTAACTTTAACTTGTCCAAACATAGCACTATCAAAGTATCAAGCGTTCTTTGTACATGCCAACAACCTAATAATCAGAAAAAGTACATGCCAATCGTTCTTTAAGCGGAGTAAAATTTTTAAGTGGTAATCATACGGATGAGATGACAAAGATTTGTATTTTTATTGTGCAATTCACAATCAGAAAAAGTATCATGCACATGTGGAATAAAAAATAAATCCATACCTGAAATTCTCATCCAGAAATTTACTCAAGTTGGATAAAATTAATAAAATAACATGTGATGGTGGTAAGAACTGACAGGAAGCTTTCGCTTCATTCATTTTGACACTGTTTGTGGTTTGATTAAATGTTGCTTCCTCACTCCCCTTGGAGACTATGTAATTTATGTTGATTTACTTATCTCACATGGAAAAAAGTTCTATCCCACTTGACACATTGTCCTTGTCTCAATCGACCATTGGTGTGATTGATGGTCTGTCTCAAAGAATCTTTGTAATTTGAACTCCATGACATTACCAGTACTCCTAGTTTGGAATTAGCATTGTGGTTCCACTGGATTGTGCCAATATCTCAGTCCTTTTCCAGTTAAATAAAAGGATTTGATGCAGTTCAGTTGGTTTTGCTAGCAACAAGTGCAGAACAAGAGCAAATATTCCAGCAAACAAGGCCTGCAGACAAGAAGCTACTTTTGTTAGTAACCCAAAACCTTTCAAGAAATCTTTCTGGATGAAGCAACAATAGGAATTGATTCATTGCACTACTTACTAATTATATAGATGCAATACGCAAAAAGAGAATTGCATCGCTTCTTGAGTTTCCTTCACATGAAAAAATCAGCCTCAGGTTCAATAAAGTTTGAGTTCATAGCAAGAGATAAATTCTTTGCCATTGACCTGAGTAAAGAAATCAATTAGAGAAGAAATAAATCATATCTGGAAATTCAAAAGCCAACTTATCACTACACATAACTTAAAAATAAAAGCCTTTGGTTACTTTGCAAGACTTGCACTGCACAAATTTATCCAATCTTCTATTATACTCTCCCACATGCATCTTTTGAGTATACATGACAAGGGCTTCGGTGTAGAAGAATTATTAAAATAGGAAAGCACCTATTTAGTACCAAATGTAAATTAATTTAGTACCTAAAAGAAAAGCAAAACGAGGCTTTAATAGAGTACCTAATGCAAAAATTTTTTGTCTTATAGATGTCTGAAAAGTCTTACCATGTTGTTCATGATTCCTTGGTGCAGATGCCACAACAGCCCTCTATTTCAGATTTTCAATTTCAAAGAACCTATTGTAGTACCAACTGAAAAATAATTTAGTACCTAAAAGAAAAGCTAAAGGAGGCATTGGCATGGTACCTAAAGCTTATTTATTTATTTATTTCTGACAAACAGCTGAAAACTCATGTGCAAATTAATTTACCCTGTTCCTCAAGATTCCTTGGTGCAGATACAACAACAGCCCTCCATTTCAGATTTTCAATTTCCATATTTATCAGTTCAATTGGTTGTTTCTAGAAGTAGATAAGCTCATGAGATATCGAGACATCTGAATTCCACCAATTCAAACACTAGTGCTGGATCCTTTGCCATTAGAAGCCTCACCCCACCTCAGGATAAGTTAATTTCTTATCTGCATTCATGCAACAGTTAACTATGTAATTGATGTTTAAGTTTATAAATATTCAAGATAAGTGTAAAGGACTTAACAAATATCGTTTTAAGTTTCAATTAGAAATGTACTCATGGCAAGCAGTTACTTACTGCCTTCATTGCCTCGCAACAAGTGCCAATATCTCACTGCCTTTTTCCAAGTTAATTGAAGAATTTGATGTAGTTCTGATGTTGTTGTTGGAACAGGTGTAGAACAAAAGCAAATATTTCAGCAGGAAGGTATCAAAGAAACTTTCTAGATGAAGCTCTTGCCTACACCCACAATTGATACCTTGCTGCTTACTAATTATATTGATGCAAATTGCAAAGAGAGAATCACTTTCTTTGTTTGTGTCTCCATAGCATGAAAGTTAGCCTCAGCTTCTAGGAAGTATGAATCCAAGGCAGGGAGAGTTCTTTGGCATAGACCTGCATAAAGAAATCTATTAGAGAAGAAATAAATCATATCTAAAATCCAAAAGCTGAATAATCAGAAATACAGACCCTAAAAGTAAATTCTTTTGGTTATCAATCTTGCTAGGGTTCTAATCCATCTATGCGTTTATTGAATCTGCTATTTTCTCTTTGTCATGCATCTTTAGTTTACACTTGGTGAGAAGTTTGATGCAGAAGAATTATGAGTGGGAAGGCACCTGATTTGGGAAAAAAAAAAAGAAGGCGCCTAAAGGAGGCCTTAATTAGTATGGTACCTAATGTAAATCTTCAAGGTCTGAGTCTTCTAAAGAAAACATATAAGCTTAAAACTTATGTTTTCCTTCTCATTGCTTCGTGCAAATACTCTTAGGTCTCTAAGAATCATACATTTTGGATTTTCAAAGTTCCAAATATATATATCAGTTCAATTATTTGATACCACAAGTAGAAAAGTTTTTGTTAGCATATAATTAATAAATCAAAATAGCACCATTCTAACCTTTGCATAGCATCTGTTGCTATTAGAAACCTCTCTTCCCAGCTCAGGATTAGATAACTTCTTTTCACATCTGCATTCATACAATAGTTAACTATATGGACTTTGATCTAAGTTCATAAAAATTCAAAATTAATAGGATTGAGTTAAAGTATTTCAAAGAACCTGACAAATGCTATTTTATTTCTCACAGCCAAGTGCTCATTGATAATTATGTCCTATGTGACTGTTGCCATCACTGCAGTACCCAACAAGGTTGTCAAGTTTGCATGAAGAACTCTGATAAGAAGTTTAAACTCTAAATTGATTGCAGTCATAGCGAAATGTTTAACATGTTACATATGAGAATGAACTCAAAAGTATTTTAAAGGTCAAACGTACTAACCTCTACAAGAAACTCATTATACCCTTGACCTGATGATTGAGATAGCATTTTGACCCCTATTTGAGTATCATCATCTAGGTAGCCATGGAAAGGTATGTTCAACTTCCTTACATCTGATATTGCCATAGAAAGTTCAATAAGAACAGATATATGGGGAAATTTTAATAGTCAATTTTAGATCATAAATTCACAATCTATTAGACTTATAGAACTTCAAACACCAATGGATAAACAAAGAGTCATACCTTGTTAATTTTCTTCATTTCAAGGCCAGAAAATGTAGCTACCTGCAGTTAAGATGACAAATGAATATTGCAGTTAATGCTTCTGGTGGAAAAGAAAAATTGTTACCATTTTAAAACAAATAGAACAATACATACTCTCTATCAGGTCATGCCATTAGAAATCCTGAGATTGTATATAGCTCCTATGATATGGATCATACAAACTCAAAATTCTTCTTTCTCCTACCATCATGAGTTTGTTTATAGCTCCTATGATATGGTCCAATACAATTTATGAGAAGAAGCAGACCTTAACAAAACCAATCCCTTCTTTGACCAATCTATGAGTTCATCTAGTAGTGAGCCAGAGATTTTGTTTTATTGGTTTCCATCATCTTCATAGATTATTTTCTTGCGACATTCATATACACTTATAGAAAATGTAGCATTTTGAGATGGAATATGTGAGGAGAGATTTGTCTTTTCAATCCCTTTATGGTCAAGTTCCTGCATATTTAATGTGTCAGTGTCAGTGTCAGTGTCAGTAAGGAAAATCATTGTGAGCTTGATTCTTGGATGCTTAAAGGAAATAAACTAAAAAAGATTAATCCTAGCTAAAAGGATCATAACCCACATGGACTCAATCAAAACCGTCTACCATGAGCAATCTTTAGGAGCATAGGGATCTCGTTGCTAGTTTCTATTCTGAGCATTATGTTGATTTTTGATACATTATTGCAACAACCAACTTTTATGATTTTATACAGATTATAGTGAAAAAATCATTCAATTTTTTGGTGCTTTAGTCAAAATCATTCATAATATGTTTTAAGTTTGAGAAAAAAAATTCAAAACCATCTTCATGGTTTGTTGGCAATTGTAATTTTTTTTTTTTTCCCATGAAACTACAATAGCACTGACAATAAATGGAAGGGTTGATCTGTTGGTTCTTTCCAGATAGAACTCAATGCTTTCTCCACTCACTGGGTATAAAACTGTTTATGGTACTGGTATATGAGTAATATCCAAAAGTGGCATCATAGAAAAGTACCTTAGTATGAGATATGTTCAATTCTCTCTGTTGTTTGCTTGGAGCTCTTCAAACCAAACTGCATGTACACATAATATTTGGCACTAGGATCTGTAACTGCCCAGCCAAAACAGAAAGCTTTGCAGTTTCGGAAGCAATATGGTGTCCACATCCAATCAAAAACATTCAGCAAACTAGGAAGTGCAAAAACATCAGAATCTCTGACCTGAAATTGATAACTTCTATGCTTAAAAATTTGATTTAACATGCGATCCTATCAAATTATATATCTATTAAGGAAACATGAATACGAGTAACAAACAAACCTAGACAAACTTTTGGTTTAGGCTCCATAGTGGAAATGAACTTGAGCCTCTTTGAAATCCTCCAAACTTTAGGACCCAGTGGGTTGGTGCTTCTGACATTTGGCACATAACCTTCTGGATATTTCAAGCATTCTTGAATCATAACTGTGTCAACACAGGTTTCCTGGCTCTGTTTGTGTCATAAGTAATGAGAAAGAAAGCTAAATGCTGCCAAGAAAAAAAAAAAAAAACCTATATGTACAGGCAATCCTAAATACTGTATGTGCATTCATAGTCACCTTTATATAATTGTCAGATTCATTGTTTGGTTGTATTCAAAAGTTTGCTAAATTTCTACTGCAATTTTTTTGCAAAAATGCCAACACACAATAATGCTTTCCAATAGAGAAAGCATAAGAAAAAATATGCAACTTCTACGAGTAAATTATATCCTATTTTATGAACCATAGGTAAGTACTTTGAAAGAATGTATGCTTGGAAACTTCCAAATTAGTAGAAGATTTAATATTGAAAGCATGTAACAAATCTTATTCTAAACCATCCTTAAAAAG